TAAGGGGAGAGAGAAAGGAATTGAAAATCTACATTAAAAAATATTAACAGAAAATTTTTCTACCCTGGTGAAGAAACTAGGCGTACAAGACCAGGAAGTGCAGTGTCCCAAACCAAATGAACCCAAAATTAAAATTTAATTTAATTTTAATTTGACATTAAAATTAAAATGTCAAAGGTTAAAGACAAAGAGAATCTTAAAAACAGAAAGACAAAAGCAGTTAGTTACTTACAAAGGAGCTCCCATAAAAATGGCAGCTGATTTCTCAACAAAAGCTTTGCAGGCCAGAATGGATTGTCAAGAAATATTCAGATTGATGTAAAACAACAACCTACAACCAAGATTACTCTACCAGCAAAGCTATCATGTAGAAGCAAAGGTCATATCAAGAGCTTACAGAAAAAGGGAAAGAAGTTCATCACCACCAAATCAGTATTATAAGAAATGTTAAAGAGTCTTCTTTAAGAAGAAATAAAGATAAAAAATATGAATAATGGTAATAAATACATATCTATCAACAATTACTTTAAATGCAAAAAGATTAAATGCTCCATTCAAAAGACATATAGTGGCTGGATAAATAATAAACAAGACCCTTCTATATACTGCCTATACCAGACTCTCTTCAGATCAACAGACACACAGAGACTGAAAGAGATGAAAAAGATATTTCATATATATGGAAACAAACAAAAAAACAATACACCAAATAAAAAAGACTTCAAACAAAGGCTATAAAATGAAGAATTTCTCATATGAAGAATGACTCAGTAATTTTACTTCTGGATATTTAGCTGAAGAAGCCCAAAACACTAAATTAAAAAAACATGTGCACCAAAATGTTCATTGCAGCATTATTTACAATAGCCATGGTATGGAAGCAACCTAAGTGTCCATTATAGAAGAATGGATAAAGAAGTTGGTGCATACATACAATAGAATATGATTACCCATAGGACAGGAATGAAAACTTGCCATCTGCCACAACATGAATGGACCTAAAGGATATTTTACTAAGTGAAATAAGTCAGAGAGATGAGACAAATGCCAGTGATTTCACCTATATGCAGAATATATAAAACAAAATAAATAAAAAAACAGAATAGAAACAGACTCATAGATATAGAGAATAAACTGATGGTTGCTAGAGGGACGGAAGGTTAGGGAGCTGAGTGAAAAAGGTGAAGGGGTTAAGAAGTACAAATTGGTAGTTACAGAACAGATGGAGATGTAAAGTACAGCATAGTCAATAACACTGTAATAACTATGTCTGGTGTCAGATTTGTACTGGATTTATTGGGATAATCACTTTGTAAGTTATATAAATGTCTAATCACTCAATATGTTGTACACCTGAAACTAAAATAATATTGTAAGTCAACTGCAATGAAAAATTAAAATAAAATTTTAAAGCATAATTCAACCAAATGGTTTAAAAATAGAAATCAATTGCATAGAAAAACTGGAAAAAAACAAACACGTGGATGCTAAACAGCATGTTCATAAATAACCAATGCGTTAAGAAGGAAATCAATAAATATTTTCCAATAAATGAAAACGGGATCACAATGATCCAAAGTCTATAGAACACAGAAAAAGCAGTTCTGAGAGGTAAATTCATAGTAATATAAGCCTACTTCAAGAAACAAGAAATATCTGAATAAACAATCTTTAGGAACTAGAAATAAGAATAGGAATATCAATAGGAACTAGAAAAAAGGTAAAAGTTAGTAGAAGGAAATAAAGATCAGATTGAAAATAAATAAAATAGAGATAGTAAAAATTAAGAGAAGATCAACTAAGAAACTAAGAGCTGCTTCTTTTTAAATATAAACAAAATATGTAAACCTTCTACAGACTCAATTCATCAAGGAAAAAAAAGGAGCAAAATAAATAAAATCAGAAATTACAACCAACACCACAGAAATATAGGATCATTAAGTGAACACTATAAACTATATACCACCAAATTGGACAACCTAGAAGATACAGGTAAATTACTAAAGACAGTTTTCCAAGCCTGAATCAGGAAGAAACAACAATCTGAGCAGACCAATTACTAGTAACAAAATGAATCAGTAATCAAAAAACTTCCAACAAACAAAAGTCCAGGACCAGATGGCTTCACAGGTGAATTATACCAAATATTTTTTCATTTTTATATTTTTTAAATATTTTATTTATTTACTTTTAGAGAGAGGGGGAGTGAGGAAGAAAGGGAGAGAAAGAGAAACATCCATGTGAAAGAGAAACATCAATCAGTTGCCTCTTGTATAGGTCCTATCAGCCCACAACCCAGGCATGTCCCCTGACTGGGAATCAAACTGCAACCTTTTGCTTTGAGGAACGAAGCCCAATCCCGTTAGGGCTCAAGTATTTTTTAAAAATTAATAACTCTCCTTCTCAAAGGAGATTTTCTCCTCCTTCTTCAGAAAACTGAAGCAGGAAAAATATTTCCAAACTCATTCTACAGAGCTGGCATTACCCTGATATCAAAACAAAGACTACAAAAAAGCAAAATTACAGGCAAATATCCCTGATGAACACTGATGCAAAAATTCTCAAATATTAGCAAATCAAATTCAACAATATATTAAAAAGATCATACACTATGATCAAATGGGATTTTTTCCAGGAATTCAAGAATGATTCAGTATCTGTAATACCAATCATATCTATATACCAATCAATGTAATACAACACTAACAAAAGAAAGGATTAAAATCATACAAACATTTTAATAGGTGTGGGAAAATCATTTGACAAAATTCAACATACATTTATGATTAAAACCCAACATAGTGGAAATAGAGGGAACATATCTTAACATAATAAAGGTCACATATGACAAGCCCTCAGCCAGCATTACCTCAATGGTGAAAAAGCTAAAAACTTTCACCCTAAAATTAGGAAAAAGATAAGGATGCCCACTCTCACCATTTTTATTCAATATATGAGTATTACTGAAAGTCCTAGCAAGAGCAATCAGACAACAGAAGGAAATAAAATGAGTCCAAATTGGAAAGTAAGAGGTAAAACTGTCACTATCCACAGATGACTTGATACTATAAGTGGAAAACTCAAAAGCCTCCCCAAAAAACTATCACAGTAAATGAACTCAGTAAGTTGCAGCATACAAAATTAACAGAAATAAGTGGCACTTCTATACATTAATAATGAATTATCAGAAAGAAAAATTAAGAAAACAATTCCATTTACAATTTCATCCAAAAAAAAAGAAAAACCTCTTGGAATAAATTTAACCAAGAAGGCAAAAGACCTATACCCTGAAAACTATAAGTCACTGAAGAAAGAAAATGAAGACAACACAAATGTAAGGATTTAGCATGCTCATGGATTGGAGGAATAAATAGCATTCAAATATCCATATTACCCAAGCAATCTACAGATTTAATGAACAAATAATCATAAAATTTATATGGAACCACAAAATTCTCAAAGCAACCTTAAGAATAATATTGGAGATATCATTCTCTTTGATTTCAAACTAAACTACAAAACAGTATGATATTGGCAGAGTGGAACAGAATAGAAAGCCCAGAAATTAACTCATACTTATATGGCCAATTAGCCTACAACAAACAAGGCACCAATATACAGTGCGGGAAAAGACAGCCTCTTTAATAGATGGTGTTGGCAAAACTGTAGAGATGAATGCAAAAAATAAGTAAAGCTGGACCACTTTCTTACATCATATACAAAAACAAACTCAAAATAAAGACTTAAATGTAATACCTGAAACCATTAAACTCTTATAAGAAAACATAGGTAGTAAGCTCTTTGAGAGGAAAGAGAAAGGAGAGAACTCTTCCTACAGTTTCCCACATTAAACTCCATCATCACCATCATCATCATTCTGATAGTCCCTACCACTGGCAAGTAAAGTGAGGAATATATACTGAGGCTACACCCACAATGTTTACATCATTTGGCTGACTCCCATCCAGGTGCTTCACCTAGCCCACATTGACTAAAAAGCACCATACCCAGATAAGTCTCCATATCTCCCTTGCAATAGTCACATCTAGACATCATTCTGCAGGAACTAACTAGTGCAAAGCAGAAAATTGCACCAACCAGAGTTGACCTTCCTTTATGCCCTACATCCCAACCTGAGGTACTCAAATTATAGCATTTGTCACTGTAATAATTGTTCTTTACATGACTGCCTATTATTTCCTACCTCATTAGAGACTGCCTTCTTTAAGATGTCTTAGTCATCTTGAGATCATCAACAGAGTACAGTATCTGACATATATTGTTGTCAATAAATGTTCCAAGAATGGACGACTGGATTCATTAATATTCTAGATATAGACACCAACCATACAGTTCAAATGTCTTTGTCTGAGAAAGATCTTTTTAAACATTCTACAGACAGCAAATGTAATATAAAACCCATTTTTTTTCTTTCTTTGGAGAGGCTTTCATCTGTAATTAAATACCTAATATGTTATTATATATCTAATCACCTTTTACATAAAATCTCTAGGGAAATGGTTATGTGAAAAATAATGTGCTCTAGTGAGACCAGTGGACTGTAGTTACATAAAAACTAGGTAACCTGGTTCTGGCTATCACCAGTGATTCTGGAGATAAGTCTTCTCTGGCTTTCAGTTTCCTCATGTATAAAAATGAAAGAATTAAAATACAATCACTAAGCACCCTTCAAGTGCTCAATATTATAGAAATCTTTAATCTATGAGTACTTCCTTAATGAACAATCAAAAGATGGGAGGCAGGTAACATGCTGAGTATTCCTAACAATTTGATACATCTTTGCTAAAGATCAAACTAAATTATCCTATCAAAAGTCATTCAGTACTTGAACTTTATGAACAAAATTAGATAAGCATAGAAAAAAAGAATTTCCTTTTGAAATCACGCACTTGACTTTTCCTTCTAATAACTGAACACATGAAGCAAACATTTAATCACACAGCACAGGCACTGACATAATAAACAAACTATAGGCTTACCTGCCAGGAAACTGCTCCCAAAATAGCTGTTGCAAGAAGACTAAAAAAAACTAACTGCTCTGAAATTAAGCAAAAATGGCGCATCCCTTTGGATGCCATGATTCTGTCAAGGCTGTTGTTATCTACTCTGTGGGTAAAATATACTTTATGGCAGTCATTTAATTTGGTATGGAATCCCCAAACAGTTAAAAGAAATATAATATGGCAAATCATCCAGAAAATTCCAAAAATGGAAAAGCCTGGTATTACAAAATACCAGAGATGAGTGTCTCTAAGTTTAAATGCTGCAAGAATAAAAAATGTAAGCTCAATCATTCCAGTGAAAATGACTGAAAGTCTTCTACAAATTCTTCCACGGTACAAAAAGGGTTTCCACCTCTCAGTAACTGAAAGTCCACTAAAATAAATGTCAAGGAAAGGATCGGTTATCAGGCAAATAAAAAAACATGCAAAAGCAACTGGATTTTGAGGAGTTTCCAAAGAAGAGAAAAACAGTAAGACTATAAAAATAACCAAATTGGAAATAGCTAGGAAAGACTTCATTCTCAGGTCAATAATCAACATGGCCAGAGCTACAACAAGCAAAATGACACTGAGAGACTTCGCCACCAACATAGTTGTGCTGGCAATGGCAAATCCAACAAGTTCCAAAAATTCAACTGTGGTTAGTAAAATGGGTCGATGACGGACATAACCAGAAATTCTCTCCACCAAAGCACATAATACCCTTAATACTATAGAAGTTAGAAGCAAATATTTGGTTGATTCTTCTTTCACATCATTTTTAAAGACTGAATTATCAAGAAAGCATAGGAGGCCAAGCAAGAATCCAAACCAAAGATTGGAGAGACTTAAACTTGCTGCTTCCATTGAAAAATAATAATAGAGTATGCTGGCAATTCCAAGAACAAAAAGACCAAGAATAAAAATTACCAAAAGTAAAGAATTTGCTGTTTTTTCCCATCTTACATAAAGACCTAAGCATATAGCAACCAGTAAATTGATTCTGGCTAAATAGCCAAGATAACGCACTGAAGAATGCATGTTCACTTCTCTGTTTACTTCTTCCAGTCTTGTCATTGCTAAATAGAGACAATGACTAAAGCAATAACGCAGTGATTTACACATGTAATCTGGCAATTTGGGCTTTCTCCCCACGTTACAAAAATTAACTGCTTATATTTCATCCAGCAAATGCCATGTATCCGAAACTCCTATTTCAGCATTTTCTCTGGTGGAATTTTTGTTTAGTGATCTAAAAAGAAGAAAACATATTTCAATGTTAATTTTATGTAATTTACCTTTCACATGTAGCTTCTTCATACAAAATAATAAGCGAGAAATAAAGTTTCTTAATGTAATTGCCTCTGACTTAAAAATTCAGCAGTTTATCCAAACTAAAAAGGCTGTGCTCTCTGTTCATCATATGCAAGGATTGCATGACTAAATGATCATTAAAGAAACTATTTTTCTGGAGGTGGTGAGGAATTTGCCTATTTCATTGTTACTTCAGTATCTGGTTTTTCAAAAACATGCAAATGTGAGATATTCAACTTAGATTGTGGCAGATTGGTTTAGCATAATGTAGTGCTATTCAGATCATAAGCAGAAAGAGGGACTTCATCACTACCTCTAATTTGAAAAGCACTAGTATCCCTTAATAGCAATCATTATTATCTGCCTAAAATCCATCGGAAGTGTCCAACCAGTGGCCCACAGGCCGCACGCAGTCCAGGATGGCAGTGAAGGCGGCCCAACACAAGACTGTAAATTTACTTTAAACATTATGAGGGTTTGTTTTTTTTTCTGGTGATTACATGTTGCAATGTATTTAACATATGGCCGAAGACAACTCTTCTTCTTTCAGTGTGGTGCAGAGACACCAAAAGGTTGGACACCCCTGCATACAAGACAACTCTAAAATGCTATTAAATCTTAGTCTTTACCTTGTTTAACTAATAAATCTTCTAGAAGCAAAGTTTAACTGTATTAAAGTTACTCAGTCCTTATAGTTGATCGATAATTCTCCATGTACTTTACCTCTACTAAATTACTTTATCAACTCTACTTTCCAAATCTAAGTCCCATTTATGTAGCAAACCAATTCCTGACCTTTCTAATCAAAATTGAAAAGCGAGAATGTTGACCAATAGTTATTGTAAATTAAAAACTTAGTTTTACTTTTGAAAAGTTACCACAACAATTACGTGTTAAAGGACCAGATAATTATTTCAATCTTAAGTGTCCCACAAGTTGCACTAAAAGCATGAAAGTGGTCAAAAAATGGTTTAACTATTAATTCTTCAATTTTTCTAGTATAGTATTTTAGAAGATGTGATCCATGCAATGGCACAAGGTCACACTGAATATCTATGGAGAACTCAACCAGATATAAATTCAAAAAGTAACTAGTTTGTGATCACCGTATGTATACTTTTCTCATAGCAGGGCCCTACAAAGAAAGACCCAATGGAAACATATTAACATGGAATAACTGTAATTATCCATTTGACTGGAGAAGAATGTCACTGGGTGACAACCCTAGGGTGTCTGGGAGGTTCCAAGCATTATTACTAATTCTACTTCTACATATTCAGCAAGTAGATTTTTTTTATAACTGATTCTATTTAATTAAGTAAGCATGGTAACTGATTTTCTCAATTATATTTTCACTCAATAATTTTCTTAAGATACCACACACCTCTACAGAAAAATATCTTCCATTGGTATATTTTTGTTTTATTTTATAAAATTAAGTATGAGAAACTGATAAAACAGAGAACACTGCATCTTTTAACATTACTTTTCTGTGTTATATAATCATTTAGCAAATATGTTGAAATATATATTCTCAAAGAGTCAGTGGGTACAGTCTGGGCTCTGATGACTAAACAATGCTGGAGGAAAAAAAAAAATCATAATAGGCTTAATGGTTGCCATTCAACCACAGACATCCTTCTGTGTTTCCCTGGTCAATACTCTCTCTCTTCTGTGACTATCCAAACCTCTCTTACCTATCCTCAGTCTCTTGACACCCACTTCCCACTACAGTCTCACGAGATAACTTTGCCTCCAACAAAATAATTAGAACGGAATTCACTAAGTTTTGGACACCACAAACCCACCTCTACCTGCATCTCCTGATACAAGGAAAGAAGGGTGTCCTTTCCCATCTGCGGGTAAATTTTTCAGACATACTATGTATCCTTTCCTCTCTGCTTTTTCAGTGAACACTCTTTGCTTTCTCTTCATACTCCCACTCTTCTCTTATCCATAACTTAAATATTTGCAAAGCTCTTTTCAAAAACAATACATCGCCTCAAACCCACCCAGAAACAACAAAAACAAAAATAATTCTCTGTCATCCCATCTCCTCTTCCAAGTTCAATCTTCTGTACTTTCAACAGCTGATATTTGATTGCTTCACTTTTCATACCATGGAACTGTGGTTTCCACCCCACAAAAGTAAATGCTCTGCCAAGTTCTGAAATGGCCTGTGAATTCTGAAATCGAAGGGGTACTTTTCACTCATTATGCTGTACATTCTTTGAACAACCTTTGACATTGTTGACCCCTCTTACCTTCTGAAACCTGTCTTTCCTTTAGCTTCCAAACACCAGTCTCCATATTTACTTCCTTACTTATTGATCTCTCCTCAGTCTTCTTGCAGGTTGTTCATTCTCAATCCAAACTTTGGACATTTAATCCAAACCTAGTCTTTTCTTCTACTATATTATGTCCTATAAACAATCTCATCTATGTCTTCAATTATTATCTGCCCCTAAGTATACATTTATATTAATCTACCTGATAGAAATAAAAGCACTGGCTTGGTTCTATATTGTTAAACAGAAATATAAATCTAGATTAAAGTAAATATAAACAGGTAAATAAAGTACAGCACATCAATATAATGGAATATATGCAGCCACACTTACGGGCCAAAATCAACATGGGAGAGTATTACTTTTAAGTGGCTAATTTACAAAAGTCTTTCCCCCATTATGATGTTCTTCAAACAACAATTAACCTGAATGAGAGAGTGAAACAACAAAGCATTACAATCATTTTCAATTGGTCAGCCATCATTGGAAAATTACTTGAGAGGCAGATAAAAATGGAAGCAAAAAGAGTCAGCCTGCACATGGGAAAACTTAATAACTGCCAGAATCTGCTTTTTAAAAATGGTATACTACTCTGAGCTTCCTCTCCACCATCTATATTTAATCCTCACCAAATACTGATCACCCTTCTTCCTGTACACCTCTTAAATGTTTCTATTTTCCAAGGTCACAATCCCAATTTTGGTCACGGGCATCTCGATCTGTCCGAGAAGTATCCTTTTTGTAAACCAAAATTTGTCATATCACTCTGTGTAAAACCCTCCAATGGCTTCCCATCACCCTTAGTAATAAAGTCTAAACTCCTAAAAATGCCTTATAAGGCTCTCTGCATTGAACGCGGGTAACTCTCCTGTTTCATCAATTTCCTTGTGAACTTTGTATTTCAACCATATTGAGCTTTCAGTTCCTTCAATGTTATTCCCTCTCCAGGTGCACTTCCGTCCCTCCTCCTTGGCCCACGGCAGTCCTTGCACCTGGCTCACTCCTGCTCTTCGGGTCTTATGTTCTTAAATCATTTTCTTAAGAAGACCATCCCTGACCCGTGTGACTGTTCCCTGTACTTCCTCTATAATAGGAAAATAAAGATCATCACTTGTCTGCATTCCCCACTAGATCACGGTGTCTCTGAAAATTTGTCAATAATACATGCCCAGAGTCTACCACAAAGTCTGACACCAAGTAGGTATTTAATACTTGTTGAAGAAACAAAGACTAGTCCAGAAATAACTATATTTAATAACAATGCCTGTCAGTTATTGAACACTTATTAATACACAAAAACAATAAACAAGTTGCCTAATATCCTACAGCTAATAAGTAGTAGAGCTAAGGGATTCTATAAGCTTCTGGACTGTTTCTCTCTCGGCCTTATTCCAGCTTTCACTTAATTCATTCATCTAAATCAATCAGTAAGTTTTCTTCCAAGCCCTTCCTTCTAGGGAATGGCTCACTAGGGAGTTCAGGACACACCTATTATGTGTATCATCCTTCAACTAAGTATTTCCGCCCCATCTAAGGGAAATGTCAAAAACTTAACCATACTGAGCAGCGGTGGTCTGGGAATTCCGGTGTTTCGGTTCTATGAATTCATATAACTCTCTGGGTCTATTTCATAAAAGGAGAATGGCGCCTCGAATGCTACATCCCTCAGCAACAGGGCAGCAGCAGTCATTCTTCTTGCATTCCGCCTCCTTCTAGCACGATACGGGAGGTCGGAGGTGCCTGGCAGTTCTCAACCACCTCTCTACTTTGGGAGAAGGCGACCACAACTGGACGCCCAGCTGAGTGAGAAAAAGCTGGACGATACTACTAGACCTTCCACTCTGCAACTCGCCCCTCCCGACCACCATCAACTTATCTCTCGCTGGTATCCTTGCTCCAGCCATAGGAAGTCGCCTGGGCGGTGCTTTGGTGGGGTCCGCACCACCGCGGATCCCCGTGAGGTGTCTGTGCCCAGGTCTCGCCGACCAGCTGCTCACCCCGTCAACCCCTACCTGACTCGGTCGCTACCACCAACGCTCTCAACCGTCGTAGCCATCTCGGGGGGCAACACAGTAAAGACGCCCAAGGAGCTGTGCCTATGACTCGGAACAGGGGTGGGGAAGAGTTGAGAGCCCGAGGCCGCGCACATTATAACAGGCCAGTCTCTTTTGGAAACTTACTCCGTTCTAGCCCGACCACGGCCGCCATGTTCCCGCCGCCAAATCCACGACGGTACGGAGCGCCACCGGGGTCAAACTGAGCAGCGCGCGTCCTCTCCCGTCTCCCTTCATAAGGACCCGCCCTTTCCTGCTAACCCTTCGCAGGGCTGGGATCTCAGGTGATCCCGACGTTGTCCGAGCAACCCCATCGAGGACTAAACGCGGCCTCTTTTTCCTCCATAGACCTAGAATCAGCAGCAGAGAACAGGGAGCGGGACGATCACGAAGAATCATACTGATCATGTCCTGGAAGCATCTAGGCCGCCGCCTCCGGCAGGACCGAAACTGGGGCGGGATAGCCACAAGTGGATTGAAAATCCTGCAGGAGGCGTTGCGGCTCTACAGTACCATAATAAGATGCGGCTTTGTGTCCATTGACCAGATAAAGCCCAAGCTCCGTAGGCTCGCCTTCAAAGCCCTTCGTGTCTCTTTTTCTAGTAGAAATTCCCTTTAATACACCTCTGGGGTCTTTACTCCACTGACAACTCTTACTCCTGGCCCATTCTCCGTCCCTTAGATCATCAG